TTTAGACCCTGGGGGTGGGGTGTGAAATAGTACAACCACTTTGGAGAACTGGTTAGCAGTTGGGATCAGTTACCCTATGGCCCAGAAATTCTGCTCATAGATACTGACTCAACAGCAATGGAAATACTGCGCAGAAATAACTGCACCAATTACTGCCACAACAGCCATAAATTGGAATAAATGCCCATTCACAGAAGAATAGATATGCCAGTTATGATTCAGTCATACTTTGGAATACTTTTCAGCAATAAAAAATGTACATATCACTGCTGCATACAGCATGAAGCTCATAAAGATTACAAGCCAAGAAGCCTAACATAATAGGGGCTTTTATTTTATTTTGTGTTCATTTCATTTATGCAGAATCCAGGAAGGGAGGAAAATATAATCTATAGTGATCAAAATCAGACTGTGGTCCTTACGATGCTGTGGGAGTCAGCTTAGAAAGCATGGCAGGGAACTTTCTGCAAAGCATGAGTTCTCTATCTCATTCTGATTTGTCCTCACCCCAGTGTGCATAATTAGCAAAGCCCCTTGAACTGAAAACCAAAGATCTCTGCAAGTTGACTCGTGCTATTATATACTGTAGGAAACTTGGATATGTTACCCCAGTGTATGACTTCAGGAGACTAGAATATGCCATCCTCAATATGCCTCTTTGGCATGAGGATTATTCTGAACTATTTTTGAGAACCAGCCACACAAGAGAAGCTCTGAAAACAAGGTAGATATTATCTTTGCATACAGGAAATAGACATCTGTACAGGAAAATCTCCTTTGGTTAAGGATGTGTCTGTTCTGTACCAGGATGGGGGAACTAAATCACACGGTGTCAATGCAAAAGGCACCAACTTCAGTTTAGCATAACAAACCTCGTACCCTGCTTCCTCTGGTCACGATTCTCAAACTTGGTTTTCCCCCAAGTCTTCTGTCTTTCTTCAGATGCTGTTGAAGTCAGAGTTCAAAGCTACTTCTTGAAAACTACTTGTCATCCCTTGGGTGTCCCCCATGTATTCATGAGGTCTCTGGGTTAATAAGATTCTGTTTGTTTTTTTTGACAGGGTCTCAGATGAGAATTTAGAAAAGAAGGTAGGAAATTATTTCCCATTCCTACAAAGTTATGTTAGTCATAATAATTTTTAAAATCCATTTTCAAGGTAAAGGACAAACTTCATACTTCTGCCGTTGGCTTGCGCTATGAAAAATGAAAGCATTAAGATGCCTGGGAGATTTCTAATGCACATTTGCATGGGGCAGGAGTTACCTGGGAACAGGTAGTTGGCTCTCAGTTTTCCAGGCTAATCACTGTGACCCAGACCACAGGTGCTATGTGACTCCAATGCCTCCACCATCCACATGACTCATGGACATCAGACAAACTGATGGGCATTTTAGTTTAAGTGAGGTGACCACAAATATTCAATCACATGGCCACTACTTTTAAATACATCACCTATAACTGAAATGGTGTTTTTCTTTTGGCCTCATCCAGCTACCTAATGAGCATCACTGGAGAAGATACAAGGACAAGAAATGTAATAATCCCTCTGCGAGTGTTGCTTCTCAAGCATTCTCTTCTGCCCATTCCCACCTCTGCCAAACCCAGTTGCTATTGAAAGCTCTCTGTGGTTCTAGGGAAGCTAACTGTCCCCACCCTGATTCTGGTCCCGCTAGTCCCAGGTTGGTAACATATGACCTAGGTGAAGCCAACCACTACATTACACCCCCCTGCTATTGCTGCTATCACCACTGCCCACCCAAGAGACTGGGTGAAGAGAGGCCCTTACCAACCCTCTTCCCTAGGTTAGCTGTGCTTTGGAAGAGTAAAGCATGGAAGAATTCTAGACATTTTTGCTTCCATGAGTTGAGCCCTGATAGGGGCACAACAAAAAGGAGAGAGGAGCACACTACAAGGAACAACCTGCTGACATAGTGACAATGTATCAGATTTCAATTCTCTCTTCCATCGTTCTGGCTACATGAGCCAATAACCCCCCTGCTCACATATTATTTTGGCTGGTTTGAATTGCATGTTTTATAATTTGCAGCTAATGCCATCTAACTAAATGAGAAGGCTCACTGGGCAACAGGCCAGAGTATGTGAAGGATGGGACTAGGAATCAGAAGCCTGAGTTCTGGCAGGTCACTGTTGAGCTGTGTGACCCTGAGCAAGTCATTTAACCTGAAAGACTCTTGGTTTTTTTTCCTGGCATAATGAAGCAATTAGACATGCCTAGTCTCTAAGTTCTTTTGCATTAATAGCAGTGAAAATTATGATAATAATAATTGATCATAATTTATGAGATTCTTACTATGTGCTAAGTGCTAGGCTAAATGCTGCAGATCTGTGACTTTATTTGATTCTCATATTGCTTGGGGTGTGATCAGGAGGGCAGATCCGCTGTGAATGTATGGAGTAACAGCTATGATCGAAGACGCCCTTACACATGAAAGGAAAAGTTCAGTACCAAGGGTCTCCAACAGGGAGGTGCAGAACCAGGGTACTCCTGAAGCACAGGGTGAGGCTGGGAGTGGGAGTTTGGCAAAGTGTACAAAAAAAGGAAGTGACCTCCAGAGCCTCTTGTCTAGAAGCCACGGGTGAGCAGGGCTGCAGGCAGTGGAAGAGCTGGAGGTGGAGTGGGAAGGGGAGATGGCAGGTTCCACTGGTGCCTCTGCCTTTGCCTTTCTGCATCAAGCACAGTGATCTTGGGATGCCGACTGCTGCTTCGTCTCCCTTCCCAAATTCATGCAAAAGCAATTGGTTGCTGGTCAATCCAACATAGACAGACACAGGGAAGAGGTCAGGGTAGGGGGAAATGTGGTTGAAGTTTAGCTAAGCTGGCAGTGTGGAAGGACAGAGTCTCTGAAAGAAGTGGGCAAACCAATCCCCCCGAAGTTTACAGAAGCTGAACAACTTGCTCAAAGTTATCCATCCAGCTAGTCCTTGAATCAGGACTAAGCCCTAGGGCTTCTGATGTCAATTAGTCCTTCTTCTATTGGATTTTATCACTGTCCTCAAGTTTGGCCATTTCTAATATAAAATGTGGTCAACTGTACTCATTGCCTTTTCCCTAATCACTTTCCTCCTTACTAATCAGTGTCGTCCAGGAGCTTGTCTATTGCTGTTGCTGTGGCTGCCGCCTCCTCCTCCTCCTCCTCCTCCTCCTCATGAGGTGGCGGAAAACACAGACTTGAAGAAGAGGCTTTGCAGCCCTGAGAGCTTTACAAACAAGAATCATCTTCTTCTCCTCTTCCTTCTCTTCTTCCTCCTCCTCCTCCTCCCTCTCCTTTTCCCTCTCCCTCCCCCCTCCTTTTCTTCTCCTCCTTCTCCTTTTCTCCTTCTCCTTGTCCTTCTCCTCCTTTTTCCCTTCTCGTTTTCTCCTTCTTCTCTGTCCTTGGCTCCTTGGTTCCTTGGGCTAATGGCCTCATGGGCCCGAGATGGATGCTGCAGCACAGGGCAACACACACAACAGGAGAGAAACCAGCTAAAGTAGAGTCTTCTTCTCTTGAGATTCTTATTAATAGTTAGAAATCCCTTTTCCAGAAGCCCCCATTCTTAGGTGTAGGTCACATGTTTATGCCCTAGCTGCTCCAAAGGATGGAAAGCTACCTAGGTAGCTGGTATTTTCAGCCCCTACTTGGCAGGGGGTGGTAACTTTGGCAAGGAGAGACTGTGGGGGAAAATGGTTTGGGCAAGGCACCCAACCATGTCTATCACCCTTCGCAAGTGCCTCTGTAACCTTAGCCTCTGTCATCAAGACTCAGTGGTTTGCTTCTGCCTGCTCTACACTGAGTAGAAGGACAGTGTGTCCACTGACTCCTCTGAGGAATCCTTACAGCTGTCCACATCAGCATCACTGTAAAGGCCCTGAAAGGATATAAGTTTCAGGGGGCCAGGCCCTCTATGAAGAGTCCTAGCCCTCCACAAACACACAGATCTGTGCTTCACAACCTCTTAAGGACTGTGCTTGTCAGCCCCTAAGGAACCTCTTTGGATACGTTCTCTTGATGCATTTCCCCCAGAAAACCCTAAAACCACATCTTCAGGAGTGCTAGTGAATGCTTGTAATCCCAAAACTCTTGGAGGCTGAATCAGGAGGACCACAAGTTCAAACTCAGCCTGAGCAACTTAGATTTTATCTCAGAATTAACAAGGGCTAGAGATGTAGTCCAGTGGAAAGACGCTGGTTCAATCCCCAGTTGAGGATCAGGTTAATGTCTGGCTGAGTCAGGAGTGCTGCACCCATCTCTCCTGAGAAAACTCCGAGGCCTATTAGGGCTGGAGTAATCCGCCCCCTCGGGTGTGCAGAAATCTGACCTTAGACAGATAAACCGGTCCTCTCAAAAACCTCTAAAGTCCTGACTCCATTTGCCTCAGCCACTGAAGCATACAATCCAAAAATTAACATGTGGCCAATAACAATGTGCCAAATATCCCAACTCCACCCTGGCTCCACCCCCATCTTACCCTATATAAGCCTGTGCATTTCCTGACTAAAGCGGAAGTGTTCTAGAAACCTCCCTGAAGTCTGCGTGGTGATTCTGTGCCTCCCAGGCCGGGCCCCTTGAACTTTGTTCCATGAGCGGGCTCACAGACGAAAAAAACAATTGAAGCCCGAACAGAGGACTTGCGTATACTGGGTAAATATTGAATTTTGGGGTAAGGATCCCTATTATGAGTAATGTCATGAGTCAAGAACGGCCGGTACAGACTGCCTTAGTAAAGGGTCTTCACGCTGTAAAGGCCTCTGAGGCGTTTCCAGCCCAAACTCAGGCGAGTGTAGGGCCCCCTGAGCACTTTAAAGATGGAGGGGTGTGGGCGGGCTGTCTGTTCCGCTTTCTTCTTCCCCAAAGGCGTCAGCCCCGCCCACTGGTCTCACTTCCTGTTGGTGACGTGCCCCTGCTAAAACCCCCTCCTCACTGGAATAATGGTCATCCAGAAGAGCCTTCCTTTTCCGGTCCAAGATGGCGGCCTCTACCCTGTGCGCTGCTATCTTACTTGTTGGATGAGGAGAAACAAACCTTTCATTGGGCCTTAGCATGACTTCGGGCATCCTGGGCCTCCGGGCTGCCCAGCCTCTTCCGCGAAAGCCCAGTCCAGCGCAGCTGAGAGCTCTGGAAAAGTTTCTGAGCGAAAGACCTGCAGCTTCGGGGCGCCGGGATCTGCTGCCTGGAGCCGGGAGGGTAGCCTGGTTGGCAGCCGAGTCTTAACAGCTAAGCAGTGGCTGAAGGTCCTTTTGTCTTCCCCGGCCTCCGCTGTCCCTACCTCCCACCGCGGATCCCGTCACCCCAGCTGCTCGAGGTCCCGCTCTCCAGGGCACGTTAGTTGCGAGCGCAGGGTCGAGGCCAGCCAGATGGGGGTTTTGCAGTCCCAGGCGTGCGGCTGCGGAGGCTGGCTGCTCCCTGGCCTGTGGCTGCTGGCGCTGAGCGGTCCAGGGGGACTACTGTCCACCCAGGAATAGCCTTCTTGCTGCAGAGCTTCATCTCCACTTTATCCTGGACAAATCCGCAAGTACCTAACCCTCCCATCTCTATCTTGTTCTGTTTTCCCCTTTCATGTTCGTTTTACCCCTTGTATTGATCCTTCTTTGTTTAATCATACAGAAACTTGGAGTTTATATTTTGCTAGAACACCTCCAGCCATTTGGGTCCCTGTTGATCTCCATAAGGAATGACAAAATTCAGATCCTCTCTTTAATCTTATTCTTCATCCCTGCAGTAAGAAAGATTTTGAAATTTCCGCCCTTATTGCTGTCATCATTTCCATGGTGGCAGCTATTTTCCCCACAACAATGGCAACAGTACAAAATCAAGTGGTGACAGCAGCAACGGTCAACCACCTAACTAAAAACATCAGCCAAGCCTTCAAAAAGACTGCCCTGCTATTTCACGATGTCCGAGCAGCCGTACTCAATTTACAAATCCAATTAAACTTGGTTTGGGAAGAATTAATACCCAGGTGTTAGATGTTATAAATTTAAATAATGTGTGGGATACCATTTGGTGAAAAATTCAGGCCAGATGGAATAATTTGAGTAGTTGGGTACGTGGATTGATACTGGGATCCCCATATAATATTAACCTTGTTTGGCATATTGTTATTGTTCTTAATTTTAAAGATCAGACATACCAGTAACAAAATCATAAAAATGTGGTCTTTTTGGCTGAGGCTCTGGAGTCAAAGACAAAAGGGGGAACTGAGGATCAGGTTCATGTCTGGCTGAGTCAGGAGCACTGCACCAATCTCTCCTGAGAAAACTCCGAGGCCTATTAGGGCTGGAGTAATCCGCCCACTCGGGTGTGTAGAAATCTGACCTTAGACAGATACACCAGTCCTCTCAAAAACCTCTAAAGTCCTGACTCCATTCACCTTAGGACCTAAAGCATATAATCCAAAAACTAACATGTGGCCAATAACGATGTTCCAAATATCCCGACTCCACCCTGTCTCCATCCCTACCTTACCCTATATAAGCCTGTGCATTTCCTGAATAAAGGGGAAGTGTTCCAGAAACCTCCCTGGAGTCTGGGTGGTGATTCTGCACCTTGCCCTCCCAGTCCCGGCCCCTTGAACCTTGTTCCGTGAGTGGGCTCGTGGACAAAAATAACACCCAGTATTCCCAAATAAATAATTTTTTTTTTTGAGACAGGGTCTCACTATGTAGTTAAGACTGACCTGGAACTCACTATGTAGCCCAGGCTGGTCTCGAACTCAGCAATCCTCCTGCCTCAGCCCTCCCAAGTGCTGGGATTACAGGCGTGTGCCACCACGCCTGGCTAATAAATAATTTTTAAAAATCCACATATATATTATCTGTTAGTGCTCTACATGTATGTCCATGCTTTATATATTAAAAATTTCAACAAAGCAATTTGCTTCTCCTTGATGCCGTATGGTCCCCGCTGATAAAGTGTGATCTTGATGCAAAGCAGAGTTCTCCAGACAGCCAGTCATATTCTTCAGTGATGTAGACATCAGTATGTGTCAATAACAATATTCCTCTGTGTCAGAAGGGATTGAGCACTGCCTCCATCTCTGACTTTCAAAGATCTTTTTATTTTAAAATTTTCTTGTGTACGTGTGTGCACCCACTGGGAGTTGAACCTGGGACCTCACACGCAGCACATGATCTACCACTGAGCTATACCCCAGTCCTACACCAAACTTTGATTTATTCTCCTTAGGTTACAAACCTTCACATGTAGGGCTTACAGTCCAGTGTGGTCAAAAAAGAAGGAATCAGGCAAAAGGAAGGAAGCAGACTGCGGGAGAAAGAACGCTTATTAGCTGGTGCTGTTTAGTTGCAAGAGAAGGAAAAATAAAAGACAAGAAAAGCAGGAAAGAAAATTTTACTGATATGGTGTGACTTACTACAGCTGCAGTAACCAAGTACTACGCTCTAGTGGATTCAACAAGAGAAAGTTAGTGTCTATTGATGCCAGAGCTGAAGTCTGTTGTCACATGTAAACAGATGACTTTACTGAACTCCTTCCAAGCTATTCTGTGAGGCATCTCAACTTCCTTCTCTATGGCGACTCTGAGGGCAGGGCGGCAGGGGCCAATTAGGGACACATGGATGGAGGACACATGAGTCAGCAAAATCACATCTTCTAGGTGGACCAGTGATTGAGAAAGTGAGTCTTCAGCAGGCCTGTGTACAAACTGCTTGTTCCCTGGAAGGCGGTAGGCACAACTGCTTCTCCCTTTTCAGTGTTGATGGGAGTTGTGTCACCAGTGGGCAGCAACTTTCTAGAGCTTCTAGAAGAGAAAGAATGAGGCAAAAGAGGCTTAAACTAAAACACAAAGAGTAAAAATCAGACTTCCATGAGAATTTGTCAGCTCTGAGACTCTCCCGTGGGATATCAGATCCCACTGTCACTAGACAAAGTCTAGTAGACCCCAAGTAGAACAGGGGGACCTTGACTTGTCTGACGAAGCAGGTTCTTGAATAATGTCAGAAAAAGAATTTCAGGATGCATCAATATGAGGCATAGTTAGGTTCACTAGGCAGAGTTAGATGGAAAGAGGATAGGAAGGACTACAGCTAGAATAACTGGAGGAGGTGCACTCTGAGGTAGGGGTCTGAGGGGCGAATTCATGAAAGCATGTGCCAGGTGTTAAGGATTAGCTAAGAGGAACTAGGGTTTGCTTGGTCATTCTCTCAGTTCTGGTTTCCATAGTTGCAGAGGAATCCTGAGGACTTGGGCCAATCAGCTCCCAGGAGATGCTTAATTCTGCTTGGAGCAGGTGGTTGCATCATAAGGTGGCCTTTGAGGCTCTTCTTTTCCTGGAGTCTGAAATGAATACATGGTGTCAGGTCTTACTGTCCCGCCCAAAGAATTGTCCAGAACAATTAATAAATGTGAAAAACTATTTATTTAAAGTAAAATAAGAAAAAGGAAAAAATGAGTGCAAAAAGAGGCAAGAAAAGTGAAAATATGTCCCACATTGCAAGGGACAGCAATGGTCCTAAGGTCAATGATCACTGTTTTTGATACCTTCTCAGATCCAGTCAATCAGAAGTTGTTCTGCACTCGCATTCTGGTGATTTGACAGTTTGCCATGACTGACAGGTCAGTTACCCAGTCTCCTTTCCAACCTTCTATGATTGACAGGCTACATCCCGCTATCCATCCAGCCTACCATGTCCTGATCTCCTGCCTCTTGGGATTACAGGTATATGTCACCATGATCAGTTTTTACTGCTTTTTAAATTTGTTTACATAAATTTTTAAAGGAGATGCAGTAGACAGGGTGCTTTCCAACATTTTATTCACTGGTATGTGTTTGTGGGATGCTTGTCTTGTGCTGGGAATCATTCTAACATTAGAGACTTCAGGGGTGATCAAAGCAGGCAAAAGTCTTGCTTTTGCAGCTCTTCTTTGTGATGGTGAGAGGCAGAGGCAGGGGAAAAGTAGAGAAATAAATGATCAAGGCTATGACTAGTCAGGAGCAGACTCACCAGAGAAATGACGTCAGAGTTGAGTCAAGAGATGAATCAGCCCCAACACGCAGGAGGATACATGTGCTAGACCTGTCATTCAGAATTGGGGGCAGTCCTGTTCCTTATGACATCTTTGGCAATGTCTGGAGACATTTCTGTTCATCGCAACTGGGGACAGGGAGGGGCTACTATTGGCACCCAATGAACCGAAGCCAGGGATGCTGCTAAACACCCTGCGGTACATAGTACATAGGCCCTCACAACACAGACCTATCCAGCCCCAAATGTCAACAGAACCAAGAGTCAGAAATTCTGTACCACAGGGAACAGGTTCAAGCAAAGGAATAGGGGAAAAAATTAGAAAACAGAGGATCTGAGCATATTAATCCACTCTTATTGCAGCAGGGCTAGGACATTCCCACAAAACTCAATGGCTTAGAACAATCAGTGCTTATTTTTGTTGCTTGTAGCTCAAGAGTCTTCTGGGCTGGCTTTGCTTTGCCCTACAAATGAGCAGGCTTGACTTCAAACTCTGGCTGAGTTAGAATCTACTGCAACCCTCCCTCACCCTGCTTGGGGCACATCCCTCTCCTGGTGGATCCCAGAGGCAAACCTAAGCACGTGGCACAGCCACATTTCAGGGCTCTGCCAAGGCCATGACCACTGCCGTGCTATAGGCAAAGGAAGTCTTCTGGCCAAGCCCAGAAGCTGTGGGTTTTAAGATACATGAGGCAAAAAGCCTTGGATAGTTTTAACCTAAGGAGTGATACATAATCGAATTCCATTTAACAGCTATAAATGGCTGGGTTGTGAAGAGTGGATTATAGAAAGCCAAAAGGGGAAAGGGGGACCAGTTAAGGCATCATTACAGTGGAACAAGGGAGATAATGTAGTATCCTTGATCAGGACGGAGGTGTTGGAAATAAATCTAAGTTCACAAATTCAGCATGTAGCTAAAAATAGAATCATCTGGGCAGGTTGGTAGATTTGAGTTTTAAGAAAAGAAAACAGTTTTAAAAATGACCCTTCAAACTATGCTTTGACAGTCTTCACCAAAACTCATGTTAAAATTTGATCCCCATTGTGAAGATTTAAAGAGTGGGACCAGGTGGGGCCTTAGTAAGTGATTAGGTCACAAGGGCTCTGCTTTTATGAATAGAGTAAACCTCTCGTGGATTAATGGCTCAATGGATTAAGGGGTCAGCCTGAGAGTGGTTCTGTTATAAAGGCCACTTTGGCTCTGTCCCTGTTTGCCCCTTTTTTTGCCACATGAAAGCCTGATCTGCGTTAGGATTCTGAAGAAAGTGGAGACCAACAGAGACCCTCACCAATGTGATCCCTCAACCTTTAACCTCTTGGACTCCAGGCCCATGAACTGATTAGAACTTTATGCTTTATAATTTACTCAGTCTGCAGTACTCAGTTCCATCAGTAGAGGCTGGACTAGGACAGATGACTACAGATTTTGTCTTGAGCCACTGCACTAGATGAGAAGCAGTACCCTTTATTGAGACATATGACTAGGGAATGAACATATTTGAGGAAAAATCGATCTTTATCTCATTTAATTTAATTGTGTCAATACCAAGGTATTTTTATTATCTCCTTTCACCAGAAGAGAGAGCAGGGACTCAGAAAAGTAGGGTAAGTTGTGCTAGACCACACAGCTGGTCAGCGGTACTGCTGGGATTTGAATCTAGTTAGTCAGCACGCAGGCTGCACAACTTCACACTTAGCGTTTCTCTGCCCTTGAGGGGGAAACTACATGGGCTAAGGCTACTGAAGAGCTTGTCTGCTTCTGAATGGTGGTTATTTTCCCCCCAGACAGTGCATTCTAGAATTAGTCATTTCAGTGTTGGGTGGGGTGTAGAATGCAGGCATGGGATTGACTTCAAGAAAACCTGGACTCATCCCAGTTCATCTGCTAATGGGCTTGCACATAAAGCGTGTGTATGAAGCTTCTTAGAGGAAAAATAAAAACCTGACTCCTTTGCATGGTCCTTAGTGATCTGGCCTCTGCTTCCAGGACCAATGTGTCATCTCTGGCTTCCTGCCCTCATCGTGTTCCAGACATGGGAACTTCCCTCAGCCCCTAGGACTCATTAAGCTCTCTCTCTATCTCTCCCCAGGCCTTCATGCCTGCTGCCCCTTTTTTGGGTCCTCACTCACTGCTCTCCGCTGCTCTCTTTATTCCCTGCATCACACTTAGCACTGCAGGGCCTTCAGGCTGGCTCCTTTCCCTCCTCCTGCAAAAGCCTGAGGGGTTTTTCTCTCATTGTCACTGTGTTTAGTCCATTTTCTGCTGCTACAACAGAATCCCTGAGACTGGCTGATTTATAAAACAACAAGGGTTTATTTGGTGCCTGGTTCTGAAGTCCAAGTGCATAGCACTGACGTCTGGTGAGGTCCTTAAATCTGTAGTATCCCATGGTGGGAGATGGAGGACAAGAGGGCATGAGAGTAAGAGCAGGTGATTACCAAATGTGCTTTTATAACACATCCACTCATTTGGTAACCACCCCACTGCTTGGTTAAAGACATTAGTCCATTTGTGACCTGATTACCTCCCAACATTGTTGCCTTTGGGACCAAGTTTCTAGCACATGTATTTTGGGGGTCACATTCAAACCACTGCAAACCTGATAGGGCTCCTGAATGTAAGTTCCCACAAGCCCAGAGGTCTCCCCTGACCTGAGGTTCCCCTGGAATTTGTGGCTCCAAAGCAAGCCCATACTAAGGCTTCAGCAACTTTTCAGTTATGCTTGAAAGTGTCCCTCCAATTCTGGCCCTGACCACTGGCTTCTCTCTGTAAGCTGTGGTTCTCTGTACCCACCTGCTAGTCTCACCAGTTTTGGGGACAGCACTTTACCCTGAGATCTCAGTTCCCTGGTGGATCTAAAAAAAGTTGGATTTTTAAATTTTCAATTTGGTTAGCTTTTATCTTTGTTGTGTGGATGACTTCAAAGCTCTTCACATGCTGCAAAAAACAAATGAGTCCCCTGACCCCCATACTAGGAATTGAACCCTTTGCACTGAGCTACATCCCCAGCCCTGTTTATGTTTTATTTTATAGGGTCTCATTAAATTACTAAGTTGCCCAGGCTGGGCTTAAATTTGTGATTCTCATACCTTAGCCTTTCTGGGATTAAAAGCATATACTGCATGCCAGTGAAACCAACTAAGTTTTGTACTAAGCAGAGACTTTCTCCATTTTACTCACTGTTTCCCCAAGATCCTGTGCACGAAAGGGGCTCGAGATACCGTGTTCGTGACTGATGGTCAGATCCTGGGCTTACCACATCAAATCAATTTCCATAGCTAGGGATGAAATCCGTAATCTCTTCAAGATGCTGTTTACTATATAAATGGGAGGATGAATCATGGAGAATTTCCTTGGGAGATGTATCCTGAAGGATAATTCACCAGGTCATGGAGACTATTACTATAAGAGGAAGGGTCCATTGGCCAGCCAGTCTGCTGATGGAGTTCTGTACACACCAGCAGACATCAACTACTAAATGAAGGGTCTTCCGACTCCTAGAGGCTAAGGACAGGAGAGACTAGAAGGTCTTTTATTTTTTATTTTTAAAAATTTTTTGGGTACTGAGGATCAAACTCGGGACCTTATGCTTGCGAGGCAGGTGGTGGCACCACTGAGCTAAATCCCCAGCCCTAGAAGGTCTTTTAAATATTTCCCATAACTGCTTAAAATTATGTTTCCTTATTATTAGGAACATGGGCTCAATAGTGTAAATTATTAATTTATAAAACGTGACATAATTGTTACTACTGCATACATGTTGTTTTTTGTTTTGCCTTTTAATGACATAATATTTAAAAACCAAAAACACATAGCACTATTAAGAGGAAGACAATCAGCTGATGTCTTGGGAGTGAGTTTTAAAAGAGGAGGGGAAAGAGAGGAAGCTGAGAAAGTGATATTTCAGATTCCTTGAGCTTTAATCTCCTATGATGCTCCACCAAGTACGAACTTTCGCCAGCTGCTTCCATACTGGTTTGTCCCCCTTTGCAGGCAGGCACGTGTGGTGGATACCTGGTGATTTCACATGCTCACTATCACCTTAGCATGAGTCAGGTGGCAGCCCATCCCGGCTCCTCTCCCAGACCCTAAGGATCCAATGGAATTATCTGTGCTCATCTCATCTCCCTGGTGGCAGGTAGAGAGAGTGAGTCAGTGGATATATGTCAGTCCAGGGGTGAAATGTAGCAAACCCTGAACGATCACAGTCAGGCTCAGGATTTTACATGGAACTATTTGAAAGAACACTGTTTCCACCGGACCAGACTGACAGGGCACAAGCCTGCACCTGCATGCAGTGTCTTGACACCACTTCATCAGCATGCCCCAGGCTGGATTCTCTAAGAGGAACATTCTGCAGCAAGGGTTTATGCGTGTGGGCTTGAGGAAGTGGCCCCAGGAATTATGGGCAGAAAGTAGAGAAGTAAGACTGAAAGAGAGGGAAGCAAAGCAGAGCACACGAGCAAGCAGGTGCCACTGTGGTGACTATTGGAAACGTGGTGAGAAGAGTACAGGATGTGCCCCAGAGCTGCCCTACCCAAAGACAACAATTTCTATTTTAATCTGCTGTCATTGGTAGAGAGGACTGCTCCAGGGCCATTAACACTATGGTACTTTTGCCTGCACACCACAGACTGAACCAGCTCCTGCGGCAGGAGAAGACCCCAGGGTGAGAATCCTAGAAGCTGTCCCCATGAGCAGCCATGTGTCCCCAAGGATGCTGTATAGGGGACATCATTAGGAGCTGCTGCAGGGACCTTCCCTGAGAACAGAGCAGCTCAGAAAGAGCAGGACCTGAGATGCAATGGGTCAGCATACTGATGCCCTGAGCCACTGCACCTGGCTATGTCTTGGCTGGCCAGCTCTGTCCCTCAACTTTCCTTTGGTGTAGTGTCTCTCCTTGACAGGATGATTCAAGACTCACTGCTGTTCATCGCAAGGAAAAGCCTGTGATGCTTGCACAGCATTTTATCACATCCTACAAATGTGTGAGCATTTCTTTCCAAAGGGAGTAGAATCTATCACAGATTTACTTTAGAGTCCTCTATAGTCTCCATCAGAAGTTTGCACAATTCTCAAGAAATATTTATTAGATGAATGACTGAATACTGTGAAGGCCCACCAAAATCTAGCGTAAGCAGTGCTAAAGAAGCCCTTTTGAGGTACAGGGTCAGGAGTAGGTGATGCAGGCAGAAGGCAGTGGGAATTAGTTCCCCTTGATAGTGGCATCTGGGCAGGAGAGGGATTGCACCCCCTGAGTCTCATTCAAGTGTCAGCTTCTCCAGTTCTAGTATTCTCCAAAGCCTCATTTTCCAGCTTTTCCATCAATTCTGAGCACAGCTTACCTTCCAATAACTTCTTTATCTATCTTTAATTTGGCCTGTCTTTTGTGACTCGTCTCCATCACTCTCCACCCTAGAAGCCTGGCTGACACTGAAGAACAGAGCAGAGCCATACCCTCCCTAACCAGTGTGGATGTCCCCTCTCCTGGGTCCCAGATTCTGTCTCTCACGGCTGCATGGAGAAAGATTGTGTCATCAAATCTTCCTTCTGAGATGCTGACTTTAACAGATTAGAAATGCTCCCAGCACAGCCCGCACTACCGCTAATAAATGATTCCATATCTATCATGAATGAATTTTCAAGTCTTCCATTACTGGGCTGTGTACCTACTCATGAAGTACATTTCCAGGCGATTTTGCCTGAATTACATGGTTAATTGCCTCATATTTTCAGCTTGCATTACAGGTCCTCTGAGTTAGAATAAGAGAGAGAGAAATACTATGTATCACTTCCCGCACAGGGAACAAATTCACTGATGGACCAAGGCATGTGGAAAATGGCTTCATCACACTAATATTAATGGAGAATGCTAATTTGTTTTCATCTTTTAAGTATAACTGAGTGAAAGAGAGTCTAAAGATAAGGGTAGAGACACATCAGGTAGTTCACCGGATGCTTTAGCTTCTTCTGAATCTTATACAGTACTAATGTGTTCATCAGTCTGTTCTTCAAATGTACATGTGCAAGGCCCTAGGCTAGGTAAGGTAGAGGATAGAGAGAGGTGCCCTCAAGCTTATTGTAACTCAAGCTGTGGTTTGTGTACCCATTACAAACGGAAAGAAAGAAAGCACCTGGGGTGGTAGCTCTGTAGTAGGCTGCTTGCCTTGGCATGCACCAGGCCATGGGTGCCATCTACAACTCTGAAAAAAAGAAAAAAGAACACAAAAAGAAAGAAAATGATAAAATTACAGTGCAACATGGGAAAGATAAATATCCACTGGAAGTATGGGCAATAAATCTTGCGAAGTGCATTGCAAAGCAAGTTCAGGGCCATGGGAATGAAGATCACGGTCCGTGTTGTTTTCAGCGTGAGCTCAGTGTGTACGTGAAGGAGGGCTGGGCATCTGCTGGGAGAGGCAGAAGGTGATGTCCTTCCACAGTCATGAGACGGCTCCAAGAAAGCTGATGGCAGTGGGCCTTGCTGGACTCACCATGTCTAGATGACAGATGGGCATTGGACTCAGGATCAGCTGGGAATTTAGATTTAGGAGCAGAGCTCCTGTGAAGGTATATTCCTGAGTAGTCCCGTGGAAAACAACCAACCACCAACACTTGTAGAGTGATTACATAGTGATAGAAAGCTTTGTATTGCTCACCTACAATTCATTACAAAGTAAACCACCAGCCTGGCAGTTCAAAGCAGCAAGAAGTATGTATGATTTCCTGCAGGTTGGGAAAGCAGGCACAGTCTGGCCAAGCGGGTCTAGCACTGACATTCCCAAGGCTGCAGTGGAGGAGCAGCCACTTTCAGGTGCAGTCACAGAAAGGTGCTCTGCAGGGCTGGAAGACCTGCTCACAGCCGGCGCACTCAGATGCTGTTGGGCCACAGCTGAGAGGCTTCGACTCTTCCCACAGGTCTGCCTGAGTGTCCTTGTTACATGGCACCTGCTTTCACCCAGTGCAAGTGACTCAAGAGAAAGCTAGACAGAAATTGCAGTGTCCTTTATGGCCTAGCCTTTGAGGCTACACTCTTTTATCTCTGCAGCATGCTTATGGTTTCACATGTCAACCCTATCTAGTGTGACAACAGACTCCACACAGGCGTGAGTCGCAGGATGTAGGAACCATTCATTGGAAATCATCTTGAAGACCGAGTCCAGCCCTTCACCTCTGGAACTTCTTCAGAGGTTTAAAAGGATGGTGCTTTTATTTCTCCATTTTACATAAAAGAAAACGAAAACCCAGGGAAATTAAGCAAATCTCCCCCAAATTCCATAACCCATAAGTGGTCCAGCCAAGATTTGAACTCAGGTCTGTATGATCCAGTCCTGATTCCAGCTGTATTAGTTTACTCAGGCAACCATAGCAAAGCACCACACAGGGTGTGGCTTCAAACAGCAGAAACTTATTCCTCATAGTTCTGAAGACTCAACATTCCAAATCAAGCTATATGCCAGCCATTGCTGCCTCTGCATTGTGGGCAGAATCCTTCCTTGCCTTTTCCAGCTTCTCAGGGTGGTCGGCCATTCTAGGTATTCTGCCTCTTCACAGAATGCTTTCCTCACGTGGTTTGTGTCCACATCTGCTAAGGCAAAGGGCCCACCTCTCGCAGAGGATACTGTGGCACACACACTCAGACTTTCTTTTATGGAAAAGTAGCTGTGCAGTGCTGGCACAGGGGTCTATTCAGTGACCACAGCTTTGGCTCCTCAGAGACTGTCACCGCAGCAGACAGCTGTCTTGCCCCTTCTTGGTGCAGCCCACATGCAGTGACAGGCAACTGAGGGAGTACAAGGGCCTCGTTATCTCGTCCAAACACCAGCTGATTTTGAAAGGCCATTCTAGGGTCAGGTTTCCCAGTGGGACTGGCCAGAATGATCACTGGTCCTGCACCAGTGACTCAGCTTCTCTGGGTCCAGTCCTGCTGTCCCCCTTGCTTTCACAGGGGCTGAGGCAATGAGCAGCCAGTGACACACACGTCCTGAACACCACTCTCCATCTCCTTCCCTAGTTCATGAGTTTAACTCTGTGTTCCTCCACTGCCCCCAAAAAAGATAAGACCAAAACCTAAGTTTGGGAATGCTTATGATTATGAACGCCCAAGGTTAAGAGCAGAAAGCATTTTAAGAGCAGACTGTGTAGAATTATCAAAAGAGGTCAATGACTGAGCCCGCTGAATTAACCTGAACTTTTTAGTCATAAGATAATTCCAAGGGAAACTGGCTTAAGCAAAATGTTGGTTCACATGATGGAAAATTCCAGTGATAATTCTTCAGGGGCTCCACATAGGACATGAAAACACAGGTTCTCTAAATCTCTTGGCTCTGCTTCTCTTTACAAAACCCAGTCTTGCTCACGTGACGAGGTAGGGAACGGTGAGTGACGGAGCACTGAGAGTGCCCATCTTTACAGCATGGGATCTGCCAACTCTGGATGTATGTCCTGCTAACCCCAAGTCAAGCAGAACATAAAGTTTCTGTCTTTGCTACAGTTCTGGAAAAAAGGCCAAGTAATGGGTCTCACTGGATCAGTTGGGTCATTTTCCTGATTATGAACATGGCTTTATGGTTAAGGAAATTCATTGGCCCCATTCCCCCATTCCTAGCCTTAGTACCATGTCTACCCTGAAAGACAAAGGTGATATTAGTCTCAGCGCACGCTAAGGCCTCTGGAGGGATGGTTTCCAGAGGCAAATACAGATAGATTCTGTCACCAGAAATTGAGAAATCAAGTATTGGGCAAAGAAAAACAACAGCTGTTTTCTGTAAATATCTAGGGGGACAGCTAGACATTTAAGCCTAGAACATTCTTTGGGAAGCTCTGTGATTATGTATAGACAGATAAACCGCATGAATGGACCAGTCACTAGTTACACTCACCTTCAGAGATCTTGTCGCAATAATCACAACCTCTATTACCCCTGTAACACTGTTCATCATTATGGAATTAATGTCATCAGATTAGATCCACAAAGGTTGACCTATGAGGAATACAGAAACCAATCACCACACACAGACATGTATTGATATTCTTGGGAAAATGATGGTGAGTAGAGGAATCACTTTATAAAGAAGGGTGGATTAGTGCAAAAGAAATGACCTTGAGGATAGGAGCACCTCCGCCCCAGTGGGTGGGGTGGACTGTTGTGTACTCCAGATCTCACAGTGGTACCCTGTGACTGGCACATTGCCAGCCGCCTGTCTCTATTCTAGATTGTATTCTAGAGGAGCAAGTGGAGAGAGAATGTGGGAGGAAGCTGTGGACATAGGAAAGCAAAAGGAAGGTTTGAGTTCTTTTATAGCTGGGCTTGCTCATTTCTGCTGACAATTAAACTGGTCAGGGGTGCTGGTTTTTACTACCATATCCCACCATGGCATGCCATCTTGCCAGAACTGGATTTGGTATAGAAAGGATGCAGCTACTGCTCTAATAGGCTGGGTACTCTCAGTCCTGTCTCAGGATATTGCTTAGACTACTGGTGGTCCTCCCATATCCATTGCTCCTCTCCCTTTTCTGTAGTCATAGAAGTCTCAGCTTTTAGCTGGGCTTATGGATGAACAGAGTAAAGACATTTCCCAGCCTCTGGAAACAGCTGGATAAGGCCATGTGACTGAGAGTTTTCCCTTTTATCCTTCCTCTATGCTGGAATGAGGACTAGAGCTCCGGAGCTGGAGCAGTCAGCTGGGGCTGTGAACTTGGAGTGAAACCCACAGAGAGAAGCATGAGGTTAGAAAGTGCCTGGGTTCCTGAAGCTGGAGGTGTCACATACCACAATGAAAGAAATCAAATTCTACCTATGGCCACCATTTTATGAGGTTTTGCATTTCTTTCAGGCAAGTGTAGTTATTTTTATACACATGCTCATTTTCTGCTCCTGACTGGTTTGGCATTGGGCATCTGACTTAACGTTTTGGGGTGGGGGTTTCTTTTGCATACCATGCTGCAATTGCAGCCCTGCATTTGGAATGCTGAGCAGAGCCAGCCCAAGGCTAAGCCAGGCTGCAGAACATCTAGCTGGAAAGAACTCGTATCCGTGGTGACTTCACCAAGCCACTTGGTGAACCCACCCAGGAGCCAGGTTATATATAACCAGACTTCCTGTCACAGGAGATAGTATCTTTTTTTGTTTGAAGTATCCCCTCTTACCTCTCTCTCTGAATATGTATATATTATATATGCATTCTAACAGATATATCAGTTTCCCCTTTTGTAAATCCAGGCAAGTGTTGTGGTTCGAACATGAAGCGTTCCCCAGGGACTCATGTACTGAGGACTTGATCCTCAATACAGTGGTGCCCAGAGAAGTGATTGGATCGTGAGGGTGCCAGCCTCTTCAGTGGCTCGATCCATTGATGGAATCCTAAATTGATGGCATTGTTGGAGGCGATGGGAACAGAAGGGGGGGGCCTAGTTGAAGGAGCGAGTCATGGAGGTGACTTTTGTCCCAGCCCCTTCCTTTCTGGTTCTCTCCCTCTCTGCTTCCTGGCTACTATGAAGTGACCAGCTTTGCTCCATGACTCTATCCCCTTCCACCATGCTCTTCCTCACTGCAGGCCTAAAAGCAATGGACTGACCATGGACTGAAACCTCTGAAGCCA